TCATCGGTCTCAGGCATGACTTGATTTTAGTAGTCATCTTACCTTCCTACTTATTCTCGATGATGTTTTGTCTTCAGCGATGTAGCGAGTAGAGCGTCCTTCTCGCGTTCGGTGAGATTTGGGGCCCCCGATGGCTCCTTTATCTCAAAATGTGAGCACGAAAACTACTGTCATTGTCAAAATATTTTGTTATCAACCGATATTAAACACACAATTACAGATGTAAAGACCATTCGTGTTTGTTTAAAGCGTTGACTCCTGTTTTTGAACGTTAAGCGAAAACATGATTGAATTTGGAGACCTTTAATTCCTTACTCACCGAAGAAATACAGCGAAAGCAGACGCCGACGACGACTACTACGGAAGTTTTTTTGTTTACATCACGTGATTCCTCTCCGCCAATCGAATTCGTCACTCTGAGTGTTCCCTAGTTCGCTCTGTTTGTCCCTACATTCCCTACGCAAATCCAGCGTTTAGCTAGGGGCGCGTCTGTAAAGCCAGGTTTACGTTGGTGCAACCGAAATTTAAACCCGTGCTTTTCCGAGCTTGGTTTAGCACGCTAAGCCGACTTAAGAAAGAGCCGCTTTGGGTTAAGGTAAGCGACGTTGGTGCAACCGGCCCTAAGTATTTTGTCGAGTGTCGCGTGACGTGTGATGATACAGACACGTACTGCGGCGTTAATGAGGTTTTATACAATGGTGACGATACAATTACGTCATATTTTTTTTTATCCTGTGGGAGAAGTATTTTCGAATTTTAATTGGTGAGCATAATAACGCTCGTTTCTATTTTCTCACTTCCGCTTCATTCTCTCTTAATCTGGGATTTATGTTTCGTTTAAAGGTATACGTGAATTAATTTTTTTTTTTCAAAATCAAACTAATATTTATTGCTGTAGGTATGACCGAATGGCCTGATGTTAACCTTTTTGATTCGACCTTTATGCTATTTTTGTTATGAAGGAACTTGTGCAGTTTAGTGCGGTCGCTATCCTTTAGTCTGAGATCTTTAAATTTTTCTTTCTTACTGCCGAATAGCGACGCAGGAAGAACAAACAAATAAACAGGCCGATACTTGGCTTGTGGACAGTGTTTCGTTTTGTCTACCAGCCATCCGCATGCCACTAAAAACTGTAAGAACGAACCAAACAACGTAATGTTGCGCCTGAATTTGTGGTGGCACACATGTCGTGGTGGCAATGCTCGCGCATCATACAAAAAGACAGACACATTAGTCGCACGAAAACGGTCTACAGACATGTTAGAAACATACAAATGTACGAAACATGCTTCGAAACATGCTTAAAAAAACCCTGAAAAGAGAAAGAAATGTTTTTTTTAGACAACCTAGTTGAGACACGCGTGTCACTTCGGTCGAGAAGACGAAGCTGCTCCACCTCTCTTCCACTCGCCCCAAACGCCGAGAGGTGACTGCCTATTAAATCACGCCTCGCGCCGTCAATATTGCTCTAATTTATTTATTTTTTCGCGGAAAATAATTTTTTTACACGCGTACCAAAACTAGGCTGTTAAAAAAATATATTTTTTCTTCTGTTTAGGTGCCCTTTAAAGGAGCTGTGCGACGATTTTAACGTTGAAAAAATTGACATCTTCTACTTTTGACATTGTTCACCTTGTCACAAATGACAGAAAACGCACGTCCTTTTATCGGAATGTTGCGATACCGCCGCGTAATAGCGAGGCAAAAATGAGAATATTCCCCGACCTGCAGCCGCGAGCGGCGACCATGAGAAACACCCGGCGTGACGTCAATGGGGGTCTTTTAGACAAATAGCAATTTGTGCGAATACCTGCTCGATAAAGGGTAACTTTTCTATAAATCTTGTCGGTCCAACATAAATATAAATGCGTCAAAAACCTGGTATCATTGACAAAACTTTTATTAGACGGAGTTTTAGTGGCGCCATCTATCCTAGGTCCACAAAACCGTCAGCTCTATCTGCTGCCACGAACAGCCGCCAGAAGCCGGAGGGGGACAGGGCCGGACGGGTATGGCCGGACCGGGATGAGACTTTCCTCGTTTAACCATATTGTTCCCGCTGCGCCCGCCAGCACATGGTCACGTGGTCGCGAGCGGATGAGTTCTCGCTGCTCACTAATAACTCTAAAGAGAGAGCTTCACCGGAACCCCGCGCGACCCCCATTGACGTCACAGCGCACGTGACTCAGAAGACGATGCACGAGTTGAGAGGTGGCAGAAACCTGGATCTTTTTCATTTTTTTTAAATAAAAACTAGGGTATGCAGACAAAATCTGTTTTCTGTAGTTCACTTCAGAAGTGTCAGGCATCAACTTCCACAATTATTTAAGCAAAGACCTGAAAGTGTTGCACAGCTCTTTTAAGGCGTGTTTTCAGGTAAGTCTGTCATCATGTGAGCATGCAAACACCATGTATTTTCTATAAAATATGTGCAACGTAAGTGCGCGCTTTGAGAAACGCCTCGGCCTCTGAAAGTGAACTTTGGCACTTTCAGAAGAAAACCTGAGGCTTTGTTCAGACAGCCGAGAAACAAATATTGACACGGCATGACGCGACAACGAATATTCGCATGCCTCATAACAACTAGGCAGGAAAGAACCTTTATGTCGTTTTTTTTTATGTTGTTGTTTGTCATTCACGGCGTAAGAGAAGCATAAACTATAGACTTATTCGCGCTGCTTGAGGTGCCACGTTGCTACTTCTCGGCAGTATCAGAAGGTACAATGTGCAAGTTATTTGAACAAAAACATGATAACTTCTGCGGCATGGGGATCAAAGAATTTATTTTTAGATTTTTATTTGGTCGTTATTGGGCCAGGTCGCCAGCGCACTTCCTCGGCTTTCATGTAGCGTATCTCGCAATGCACAGTTTTAAGTTATTTACACACACAGAAATCACCAACTCTAATGCGATCTGTTTTATCTCGCCTGAAAATAGTGAAATGCACCCCTAAAACCCATCAAACGGCGCTCGGAGGTGTTCCTTCGCTCCATTCAAGGAGTAAAACGCTTTATATATATATATAAACATCAACCAAGATCCTTCACTATCTTTATCCGATAAGGAATGTTGCTTTTTAGACACACAGTGACAGCGCATAACAATGGCTAAGGAGGACGTAGCGTCCATGACATGTATTTTATCTTTGTTTGTTTGTTAGGACGTTACAGTACTTATACTTGATGTTAGCACGAATAAACTTTAGTTGTTAGTCAGCGCCTTGTCCGTCTGCCTTCTTGTTCTTGTCCGCGCCCTTGCGCTGTTTTAATTTTAGAGCGCAACTCTTAAGGCTCTGTTATACTCCGACGTAACGCGCGCGCAAGCGAACGCTGGCCGAAGTCGGCTACGTCACGTTAGTCACACCGCACGCATAAAAAATTCGGCTTCTTTATACTCCGGCGTCCCTGGCGGCGCTCGCGGCGCGCGTCGGTGGGCCGCCGGTGCGGCGCATGCGCAGAATCTGACTACGGGGGCACGTTTCCTGCAAGAGTGCGCCACTTCCGGTTCCTTTTCGTTTCGGATAGCATACGAAAATTCTCGCGCTTCTTGAGCGTCTAGTTCGAGCGATGGCGTGGACGTACCTTGCACGACGAAAACGCGCGCTTGCACTGTTGGTGCCCCGCCTGCGCCGCAAGCGTAGGCGGTCAGTTTGCATACGGTACATCTTTTACAAGCGCCCGGTCTACGGCACTCAAGCTTCCTCGAGTCGTAGACACACAGGTGAGGACGAATTCCCTCGATCAGCTTCTCGACCGACCGAGTCCGATTCTTCAAACACGACGCCACACGTAGTGGTGCTCCTGTCGTCTGCTATTGCTCGCATTCGCCGCGCTTCCCGCCCGACGCCTGTCGGGAGCCAGCGCGTGATGCATCCTGGTCCGGCGTCGCCGGCGCGGCCGGCGCGGAATACGGCATGCTCCATTTTGGCGTCGAGGTGGTCAGGCTGCGTCGAACGCCGCCGGTCGCGCCGGTTACGCCACGACGCCGGAGTATAGAGCGTCAGGTTTTCGCCGACGTGACGTCGCTGTGACGCGCTCGGACGCGCGCACGCGTTACGTCGGAGTATAACAGAGCCTTTAGGCGCCCGTTTCCGGCTTGAGCGGCGTCGACGTCGGCGTAACCGTGAGGTCACGTGCCCCGCCCCCCCCCTTGAGGAGGAGGGGGAGGAGGGAGGAGGAGGAGACGAGGGGAGGAGGTTGAAGGATGAGGAGAGGAGGAGGCGGTGAAGAAGAAGGAGGGGAGAGGAGGAGTAGCAGGCAGGATCACGAGGCGAAGAGGAGGGAGGAGGGGTATACCTTCCCCTCAGTACCCTTCCCTCCTCCTCCTCAAGAGCTGTGCTTGAATTCGGTGTTACAAGGAGTTGTAAACGGCTTTCATTTTTTTAATTATGAAATACCAACTAGCCCAAACTTCTGCGTTAGTTATGTAGTGAATTTATCATACTCGAATGTCGCGTGTATTCGTTTCAGAAAACAAAAACAAGAAATATTCAAGCCTAAAAAATTTTTTTTTTTCTTGTACACAGAAAGAAAAACGGTGAAAACCGCCTGGTTCACACTGCTGCTACTGACAGATGGCACCACACACTCCTCGGATATGCTGGATCCGCTAGGGTGTTCATTTAAAAAAAAATTACGTTTGGGCGTTATGTTGCGCCATCTTTGAGTCACAGCATTACCTCGCTGTAAATAGAAATAAAAAAACAAGGTTATTTTAGACTTAATTTTTTTTTTAACTGACCTTTATGAGGTTTATGTATGATAAAGGCATCGTCTAAAGACACCTTTCTGAGAAGTCTAATCGTGCTCAATTTTTCGGTCGTTCGCATCTTCCCTTCGACCTTGTCTATTTTTGCGTGCTGTTTGTTTCCGCTTACCATGAACCAACTCGCCTACATCACGACTGTAATTCAATTTATTGGCTTATTTATAATACTTATTTTACGCCTCAACAACGCTTAGTAACGGCTTGTATATATAAAATAAATATATCCACTTACGACATATCTCGTCGCTGGTGTCCCCACAGCCGTCGAAACCGTCGCACCGCCACGACTTGGGAACGCAGCGTCCGTTTTCACACGAGAATTCGTCGCTGGTGCAATTTCGTGGCTCTGAAAAAGGTAGATACAGCATTTCGTTGGTACGTAAAAGAATATAAACTTCCGAATAAAATACTTTGTTTTCTTTTAAACTGTGTTGTTGCCTCAAATGCATTTTAATTTATAGATACAAATACGATCGAAGTGCCTGGTAGTCTCAGACTGTAAAAGTTATAGATTGAAGGACGTTAACCCAAGCGAAGAACGCGTGCCTTGCGTGGCCTACTTATTAGCGTGTCTCGCTGGCAATCGTGGGTTCAAATCCCGCTTTTAGTTCTTCAAATTTTTCTTTAAGTCAAGTGAATTACTTTATAATTTTAGTTATAAAGTAATATAACTTCACACATAAGTGACTTTTAATCTGCATTGCGTGACATGTTTGTTGTTAATCACTTTTTTCTTTCTTTCTTTCTTTCTTTCCTTTATTATTCCTTTGTTATTCTTTTTTTAAATACACAATCGTTGCTTGGACCCATAGCCGTGGAGGCTAGTCGCGGGTCCAACATTAGAAATAACCTTTACAATGCGGCAGGCAAACAAAACAAATGTACGCACACATCAAAGTATTCACAAAACAACATACATACTAATTGAAAAAAATATATATAGGGCATGATATTGAACTTATTCATTGGCTCGCAATTTAATTAAATACTTCTTTAAGGATGGCAATATATTGGGTTTAGATTTGATGTCGGTAGGGATATCATTCCATACCAGGGCACCGTTGAATTCAATAAGCCTTTCTCCATAAACATTTCGACAAGATGGCAAATTAAACAGATTATTTGTTGCAGCTCTCGTATTCCACGCGTGACGTCACATTTCATGTGAGTGTTGTGAGTTGTTTGAAATTCCCGCGCGAGGTCATATGGCTGTGGCGTCATGACTCTATCGACCAATCCTGGATTCTAGCGTACGCCACCGACGCCGGCTTTTCTGCGACGACACGAGCTCCTCATTACGCGTTAAAATTTGATTTAGCGCATCGGGTACGTCCGGCGCTAACTTGAGTTCTTATAGTTATTTCCTCGTCGAAATAATGTATTTTCGCGTTAACATTGGCTCCAAGTGTATCAACACCTCCAACGAATAATACCGCCGCGTGCCAAGATTTTAACTATGAGTCACGAGAGATCCACTAAGACTTGATTAATGTCGGACTCAAAGCGCACGCGGGCTTTTAGTCACGTGGGTTCCACTGTTCTATACTTGCGTATCAACAAAGTTATGAAGAGCACGAAGACGCTTTCTGGAGCGACGTTAATAAATTCAATACAACTTTTATATATTAAACAATGCTTCAGAAACAGTGAAAATATTAAAACTTCAAACGGGCTCACGTTATCATTAAAAAAATACACACAGAAACACATACACACAAACACACACACACACACACACACACACGTACACACACACAGGGTTGTTCTAGATAGCGAACGTCATGTATTGCCTTTTTACAAGTGAAAGAAATTAGGTTTCGAAGTTAAGCAGTTTATTCCAAACCTTATTATTTTTCTTAAGAATAAGGGTTTTCGATTAAATTTGTTTTTCTATTCAGGTAGCGCAATAGATGTTTCTCTACTAGAGGTGTACTATTTTAGCGCAGCATTCTTTGAGTTTCCAAGCATTAAAGTTCAGACTGAACAACAACTTCGCGAAGCGGGCGAGTAAACAAATTGGGACAGTGAAACATGAATGCACTAATTCTTTGGACAGTTCAATCCAGAAGCGTAACGCTTAATGCGAAGCCTCCATAAAACGTGGCTTTGCAGAACGGTGCCTAGAACGGCGAAGTTGTCGGAATATATTTTGGGTTTGCCACGTAATCCCAGTTCCTTATTTTCGCGGAGAAACGGAAGTTGTTTTTAAATGTTTCTTCTACATTACTTGCTGTCTGCGGAATCGCGATTGCCTGTCTAGTGTTTAGAGGTTTCGAGAATCGCTTTGTTTCCTGGTTTTTGCAATTAAACCTAGTACAAGCATTTACCCCAGAAAACCCTCATTTCCCTTCTCAACGCATTTTCAAAGGTTTTTGAGAAGCTGGTGTACAATCGTTTGTATGATTATTTTAGAAGGAAGTTTGTTCTTGTACAGCACGGTTTTGTCAAAGGCAGATCCGTTGAGACAAATCTGTCCACGTTCTTAAATTTTGCTTTTCCAATTATTCAGTGTCGGGGCCAAGTAGACACAATGTATCTGGATATGTCCAAAGCCTTTGATAAGGTCAATCATGAGTTGCTATCGTTGAAACTCAGGGACTATGGCCTCAGTCCTGAGTTCAATACCTGGTTTAGGAGTTATCTTCATAAAAGGCAGAACTGTGTAAGGGTATCTGGCTTCTTGTCTCGTCCATTCATTTCTATGTCAGGAGTGCTTCAGGGCTCAAACCTTGGGCCTTTGTTGTTTCTTATTTTTATAAATGATTTGGTGTCGTCCGTAAAACACTCTTAATTACTTATGTTCGCAGATGACGTGAAGTTGTTTCGGGAGGTCACCTCAGTCACTGACTGTACTTTCCTGCAGGACGATCTTCGTTCAGTGGTATAGAATGGTGCAGTTCTAACAATCTTTTCTTAAATCCGCGCAAAACAAAAGTCATGTCCCTGTCGAGAAAGCGTCACAATGTATCCTATGTATATGTTCTGGAAAATGAAACGATCTGTCGGACTACGCAGATGCGAGACCTAGGTGTTCTTGTGGACGACCACCTTTTTTTCCTTTCTCATGCAAACTCCATTATTAGTCAGTCATTACGTATGCTGAGAATAATGTCTCGCTTAACTAGTCCATTTATTCTTCATCACTGTCTTTTGAGATTATATAGTACCTATGTGCGTTTGAAACTAGAATTTGCATCTGTAGTGTGGAACTGCATATCTATAACAGCAAGTGAAAGTATAGAACATGTACAAAAGAGATTGGTGCGCAACATTTACGACAGATGTTTTGGAAGAAAGTGTTTTTATGAATATATTTCGATTTCAGCAAAGTTAACGTTGGGCAGCTTATGTAAAAGAAGGTCTATTCGGGATGCTCAGTTTTTACATAGGCTAATTCATAATGCAATAGACAGCCCTAGACTCCTCACCTGTATTCACTTTCGCATTCCACTTAGAACGAACTCTAGAAATCCAAGAGTATTTTAACCAGACCTCATTCTAAACGCATCACCTTTTTCGCGTATCCAACATGTTTTAAACACGCAATTTACTGACGTCGATATTTTTAGTACCAACCTGTCTTTTGGAGAACGATCGTTTTAATGCATGTGTTTTTAATTGGCATATATACACGTTTGTGTGCTTGCATGTTTTTTTTTCACAACTCTTTATTTTGTCAACTCTGTATTTTTTGTGTATTTCAAGTGAGTGTGCTTAACACAGTAGGCTTTCGTGCTGTTGGTTAGCACAAGGGAAAAATAAACATTGAACATTGAACATTGAACACCACGAGGTACAGGTGAAAACCTCAGTTGGCGCAGGAATTAAAGCGAAGTGAAAATTATCCGGGACTTTATCAAAAGCGGTATTCGAACAAGGAAACAAATTTTGAGGGATTACCGTTGCTTCGTATTACAGCAAGAATCAGAGCAACTGAGTACAAGCACAAGCTCAAGATAACCGGAGAAAACCAAAAGCCAGAGAAGGAGAGGAGGGGGTGCAATTTTCTATCAAGTTTATAACAATCGCTGACCAGGCCTAATCTAGTGACTAGCTATATTTTCCTCCTTTCTTTTAAGTGGTATTGAAGATTATTATATATTTGTTGGTACAATTACCTTGTTCGTTTATTTTAAATGTGCTTTAAGTGTGCAGTGCTAACTTAGAAACAGGCAGGGGTAACTTTTTTAAAATTTTTGTTTGTAAGCACATTAACTCAAAAATTTGCTTATTATTAACGTTTTTAAAAATATTCCCGCGATGGCAGGTTCCAAGCCATTTCAAATTCTAGGCAAAGGTTAGTTCGGACCACATTATTTTCTTATCTTTTCAAAAAGAATATATATATATATATATATATATATATATATATATATATAAGTCACCGAAACATTTACGTATCGAACGTCGCGTGCCAGGCTGTCACCCTGCTTCCGGTGGCTTCCGGTGACTTGTCCGTTAGTTTTCGAAACAAAAATTATAAAACGAGGCTGTGCGAATCTAGGCACTGAACCTAGTGTGTCTTCATGTGTACTTTGCTCAGGGTGGTGTAACCTCACCAGTTTATTCTGAACGGTTATTATTATTCTTTTGTTTTTTGTTCTGAAGCGCGTGAAAGAGCGTGTGCCTGCACGCGCTCATGGCACCGACTGTGCTACGGCGACATTTTATTATCAGCGAATTCTTTGCATTTCCCTTGTGAGCGCGTGCTGTCGGCATCGTGTACTACAAAAAATGGCATCACCCTAAACTGGGAACCAGCCTTAAATGAGTCATGAAGCGATATCGGGTTGGAATGTTCGTGACTTTGCAGAGGCGTACTGCTCCTAGTCTGGCCGAAGTATAAACTCGCACAGACCACCCCTGATTCAGAATCTTCATTGTTGCGGCGAAATTGCAAGGATAAAAGGAACTACTTCTTTCAGTCTTGTCCTCACAAAGCTTGATGTCGTAATTGTGGGAACGAAACTATCCACCTGACGATAGTCGAGCTCTCAACTTCGGCTCGTAACAATAAATGCCCCTGCGGACACTCGGGTTGTGGCTCGTGCCTAACCACTGCGGCGATGAAAATAGCCGAGCAATAACAATGCCTGAACATCAGCACGCGTTTTCTACTTTGCCAACCCCACCGCGTGAGTGCGATTAACGTTGGCGGCACAGGAGAGGCACCAGGCCACGTGACACCTTGTTCTGGCTCCGAGTTGAGAGGATGAACGATGCTCATATTTCTCGAATTTGTCTTTTGGCGACATCCATTGCGTAGAAAGAAAGACTAAAGCAAGTTTATCTAGCTAATGTTAGGCAGTGGTGCTTCTAAGTCGTATTTATCGAAAGTAGAAAAATCGTTTCATGCCTCATTTACAGGCTGCATTTACAATGGATGCGACCATAGCGAATCGAATCGAGATTTGACTATTTCGATTGGTAGCAGATGGGTAGAAGAGGAAGAGGTAGGAAGACATACTGCGTGCGATTGGTCCATGCTTGATTCAATCCGCTGCGATCGCATTCGCCAAAACGTAGCCAAAGGGGCTTTCGTGCTGGCACACGAATCGCAACCGCAAAATGGATCCACTCGTCTTCATTATCAAACGTGAATGAAATTGTCTTACACCTTTAACCGTTTTGTGAACGCCGTTCAACCACCAATGTGAATACGGTGTTTCTGCGAGTTCAAAATCGCGCACCCGCGTTTAATCCGTTCCGTTGTGTAGTTTTTTGGTCACCCCGTGTTAGGGAAAGTTAAACTTTTTTTTTCTTTGTCTTATGTACCAGTTTGACTCAATCTTTCTAAGAACATTTTTATATATGAGCAGTTGTAATCTAAGAGTTTAGTTATTAAATAAACAATGAGAATGTACACGCCAAATTATGCTCGGACTGGTTTCTTGCTTTTTTTCCCGTGGTCAGGATTTATATAAACTAGAAAACTGGAAATGATAAAATTATAATTATTATTTTGAAACGAACATTTTTGTGAGTTCAAACGTCAGCGAGGCTTAATTACACTGCGAAGCCCGCTAAACGGGTTGACAACGCTAAAGAACGGATATAAAGAAGATCTAATTCAAACGATACAGAGACCTAGCTAGTAAACAAATCTTTAAAACATCATTCAAAAGAAAGTAACGGAATAGGCAAGCTTAAAGTATGATATCAGGGGACGTAGAAAGATCAGTTATTTACTACCTTCCGATTACCTCCTAAAATTTGCATTCCGAAATGGCGTCAGCTTCGCGGCCTTCAGCAAATGTAACTGTCATTTATTTAAGGCGCTCGTTGTTGTTGCTTCCGTTTATTAGCGTGCAGTGTCGATTTACATTACAATTCAGTCCGCTGTCATGAAACTTTGAGGAGATTTTAACATTTATATAAAAAGGTAATGACAGAAAAGTTAAACGGTAAGCCTGTACTTGTTGATCCAGGAGAGCAGAAAGTACTGCGGACGCTTTTTTGATAGGTTATACTGAATTTTGTTTTTTAAATCTTAACGGATTTGTTTAAAAAGGTATAGCTGTCCTGCACAGTTTGTGCAGGTCAGCTATACGGCCAGGGGTGCATAATACTGGGGGCTAATCGTAACAATCAGTCGAATAACTCTGTAAAATCTGTTAATTAACTTTTTAATTAGTGAAAACAGACACATGGCTCCAAAAAGAAACTTGCTGAGCTTCATCGAAAAACACTAAATGAACTTTTTTTTTTTTTTTTTAGAAGGATATAAGGCAGGGACAGCATTTTACGACAATCTAAAAAAAAAAACAAAAAAAAACAAAAAACAAAAAACGAGCAGTTTGGACGCCTTTCTAGGCTTCGGTTTCTTATCGGAGCGTATCTTTGCGCCTGCGGTCCTGCTCCCCGGTGGTCGCGGCACGAAGCCACCGCCTCGCCCCCCTTTGTGGGATGGAGTGAAATATCGCGCACGTGTGTTGCGCGTCCCGGCCAATGGGGAGTGGGGCCACGGGCCCACAGATGCGCTCCGATAATAAGCGAAAGCCTGTGCTCTCTTTCGTCTTGCATGTTCCTCTTTCGTTATTGTAAATTAGAAACTCTATTTGAGCATTTTTACGGAACGCCATATGATGGTGGCCCTGCGATATTTATTTCTAAAAAGAGTTGATTTTAGTGGTTTTCGATGACGCTCATCAAGGTTCTACCTAATTGGAACAGAATGTCTAGCTTCACTAACAAAAAGCTAATTAACAGGTTTTACTTAATTAGACCACTCATTGTTATAATTAGCTCCATATTGGCCGTATAACTCACCTGCGCAGACCGCGTAAGTTCTAGCTTTCACGGCTCTTCATAAACAAATCTGTAAAGCTTGCGATCAACACCCTGCATAAGGCGTTCAAAATGTATCCTAGCGCTGCACAACAAGCTAGAAACGTCGGCACCTGCACATAAAGAGCTCAAACCCCCACAGAGTGAGAATCTGGAGGGTGCGTTTTACTCGAATAAATTTCAAAGCATAGCCCCCTTTCCATAAAAAATGAGACCAACAAACCGCCTGAATTTAGATTCGCTGAAAGACTGTGCAGGAGCCGATTTTTCCTGCTCGTTTTACAGCAGAAGGGTTCATTGTGGACCCCTAACCTACATGTCATGAAGGGAACGCTCCGTACGGTTTTAGCTTGTCACTTTTTCATTTATTGTATTGTCCCTTTCGTGCCTGAAGCAAACCTTTATTGGTTTAATGCTGCGACGGTTCGGTTTTGGTTTGGATTCATCGGACCTCTAAACATGCAGTGTTTATCCCTCGTAAGCTTACCGCGTGGACTCTCTGAATATTTAAACGCTCCCTGACAAAAGTTTACTCATCCGCACTCTTCGTTAGCAGGCCTGAATCCGCCTGGTTTAGGCGAAATTCTGCCCACCGACAACGATGCCCCAACATCCAATCAGCAACAACGTTCACATCGACTATGCAAGCACTCTCAGAGCTTAGGAGATTTAAAGCGCTGTTTAGAACATCAGCAACATCAAAACAGTCCGAATCATCGAAGCAATTTATGGTACGCCGAGCGCAAGTTCGTCTGCTTCTTGAAATGGGGTCGCCATGGTGTCAGAACGCCAAATTCTCACTGGTTGATTGAGAAAAAAAAATAGTGGGTGGAGCTTAAGGTATCTACCCATTAAGGCCTACTCACTATACTTCCAATCAAAGCCAATCAGAACTCGGCGTCATTCTGACGTCATCGCAACCTTTGCGCAAGAAGCAGACGACTTGCTCTCCGGTTTGGGTGAATCATCTGCAGGTAAAGCCATCCCCTCAATTTTAAAAAGAAGCGCGTTCGTAATGTTCGAGTGGCTATCAGCTCGACGCTAACCATGTAAACTTTGTTAAGGTTTCGAGCATTTACACCCCTATTTCACGGACAGCGAAACAATGTTAAAAACAAACTTCTTGAAAAAAAAATAAATGAAAGATCGGCGAATCGGCGCACGCCAATGAGCATGCGCAGGATCTAAGTCGCTTGTTGATTCGCCGATTTTTCGAAGGAGGTGAAAGTCGTGAAGACCCTTTAAGCGTTCTTAAAACAGCGGTATTATGTGTCATATATCGTAACACTGACAATAAAAGTATTATATCAAACGGTAGCGTGCACCACCCAGCCGAAGAACTTTTAAGCCACGGTGACACTGCTAATTACACCACACAAAAATACTGTCGCAGAATCCGTCTGGGGCGTGTGTTTGAAGAAAACATGTTTCGAAGATGCTCGGTCGTGCCTTCAGTTATTTCTGTCATCGCGACTGCAAAAAGACTCAGTGTCTTTTTCTTTTCTTTTTTTTTTTTTTTTGCACGATGTATCCGCAACGTGTACTGCGTCTTAAAGGGCCGCCTTACCACAGTCCGCCTCGTCGCTGCCGTCGGCACAGTTCTTGTTGCCGTCACACCACTGGGTCTTGAGAACGCACCTCCCGTTCTGGCACAGCGCCTCTTCTGGATTGCAGAGCGGAGCTGCGGGGGAAGCGCCACAAAGGTCACCGTTAGTTTTTATAATATTTACCGAAACGTGCAGTTTCCAAAAAAATATGAAGAAAAAAAAAAAGAACCCGATTCTCCTAGACAGTTTCTCTGTCAGTGCTAAGCATACTTTAGCTAAACGTATTTTATTCGTACAGAAAAATTGTTTCAATAAAAGTTACCAAGGAACCTGGGCAAAGAGAATCCCGCAGAGCAGTCACAAATTGCGGTGTCGAATATGGGTCATTCATAGTTGTTGAAACTGTACAAGATGAACATAATTTGTTAGACAGGTTTTACTGCAAGTCACGCACTAAAAGAAATTTCTTTTTTGGCAAATCAGAATAACGTTGAGATGAAGACCAGATGGCTGGAAACGTCAAGATTGGTAACCTCACTTTTCTCCAAATTTACCATTTGTCGCGAAAAAAAATCTTTTTTTGTTTGCGTTGCTTCTTTTTGATTTTTATATGAGCAACACCTACATATATTAATTTAAGGCTACCTTATACGTTTTTATCCAGATTTTATTGAATTGCCTACATAAATTGTTTTTTTTTTCTTAGAGAGTTTCATTCTTAAAATGACCGTCGGAGGTGAACCCCTTAGAAGCCTCGGTGTGGCAATGGACACTGCGTTAAAAGACAAAGGTCCTACAGGACAAGAAAGATAAAAAAAAGTTGACACCCCTGTTCCACAGGCGATTCAAAGGCCATCAGACCGAGGGCCTTGAAGGAATCGGCAAATATAAAATTCTTAACGGTACATCGACTGCGACTTCGAGGCTCAACAGGAGATTCCTTCTAACTTCTTTCTGCCAGAAAGACCACCTCCGCGTTTTGCTTAAAATACATTTTAAACTCAAAAACCAAATAGACTAATTATTTTCTACACTTACCTTACCTCCTCTCCTTCGTACATTGTTTTTTATTCTGCTTTCAAGCTTGCTGAACGTCACAACTTTCGAGTGGCAAAAACGTCGCGAACTTATGAGTCGTTCATTAGATAAGTAGACTGTAGTTTTACTCAAAGAAAAAAAAATATATCGGTATGTATTTTTTGAACCCAATATCACGTTTTTTGTAAATGTAATGTGTCGCCTACGTGCAGCAATGTATTAAGATGCTCCGTGTGAATGTATACTTCAATTTAAAAAGAACGTGCAATTAACTGCAACTCAAACACGGCGTACCGTAGACTACGAGTTTAAATATGCACTACCCAAGTCAACTTTAAACTGATTGGCTCTTTCCCTAAGCGGCTTAACGAAAATTCGAGCTCATTTTCAATACTTGTTTTAAAAGAGGGTTTATAAAGTAAGTGAATCTCTACATTATTCAAGGGTTTGCAAGTCTAGAAATTTCCAAAAAGCGAAAACGTAAGAAAAAGAAAATTAAGCATCAACTGAAATAAACTAGAAAATTAAAAAGAATGTTGAACTCATCCCTTCGCTCCTCATTTCCCTAGGCGCTTCGCACCACTCCCCTTATTCTCCTCCCCCGCCCTCCCTATTCCTTCTCCTTCCTGTTGCCTAATCACATCCGCCAAAGCCGGCTCGTCGCGCATAATTTAGGAGGCAAAGACAGTTGCCAAACAAAGAAAGCTCCCCCCCCCCCCCCTCCCCCAATCCCCGGTGCGTGCTCCTCGCACCCTCGCAAATTCCAGGGGACACTGCGCGACCAAATTACGCATTCACGCGAGCAAGTGTAGCCGCAGTCGCCCTCAGAGAAGATTTAAGGGGTCTAAAAAGAAACGAAAGCAAACAAATTGAAAAGAAAGTAAGTTATAATCGCTGTAGCTCATGCATTCCCGGCTTCCACGCATCACGAGCTCTGCTATCTTTTTACCGCCTATTTAAATAATCAATAATCTTACAAAAAGGACTCGGGAAAGGGCTAAACATGCGTGTTTTATAGCCACTTATACAACAACAACGGCAAAAAAAGAAGAAAAAAAAAAAAAAAAAAACGTCGACAGCTTGGACATTGTTAAGAGTGAGCCCGCTTTTTGGACGTAATCTACCTAATGCGAGATTTACCGAGTAGCTATTGTTTTCGTCTAGAGCCGTCGGTGTCCTCCATACAAGCCTTGTATCTGACGTCATAGTATGGTGCCTGGTGCACATTTCGGACTGGTGTGTTTAGAGTTCTATCCCAGTCTTACATCAAAAGTGGACCCGACGTGGCGACAAAAGACGTCACCAAAGCCAGAGTGTACCGCTGTTGCATGTCGCGATCCTGGCGGTTGGTCGTAGATATGCTGGCGAAAAGCACGAGCGAACGCGAGTGTCGCTGTCGTCACGGCGTCCCAACTTCTGGCCGCCGAAGCTTCCGTGGACTGTCACGTACTGGAGGGCGATCTGCAGCGGAATCAGGCGTCTGCCACATACACCGCCGCTGTTGGGACGCCGCCGGGATCGCGACCGGCGACAGCATCAGACTTCTATGACGTCACCAGGTAAAAATCGGGGGCCCGCTTTTTGGCACCCGGTACACACACTAATCCGAGACGGGTTCCAGGTACCATAGTCTTATGGCACCGTATACCGGCCGCCATTGTTCCATACCATGCTCCTGTGCCCCGTACCTCCTGTAGCATACATCTCGAAATCAATTTTTTTTTCTCCTTGGCAGGACTCGTGGAGAAGAACAGATTCGACGATGCCAACTGTATGCCACAGATGGTACAGGCACAAGAATATGGTACGGAACAATGGCGGCTGCCGTGACGTCAATGCAAGCCATGTATAGATGAACTCTGCTCGGATTATTAACATTACCGTGTGTTCGAAGCGCACATGCTTTATTAAGCGGACTGCAAGATCGCTCGCTCCTTTTACAGGGTTTGTGATGACGTCAGAACGGGGAGCTCTGATTTGGTCTGATTGAAGGATAGTGGGTGGACATCGAGGAAGCTTTCTTTGAGGTCTATTGACTATCTTTTGATCGGAGCCAATCAGAGCTCGACGTCCTGACGTCATCACAACTCCCACAAAAGAAGCAGACGAACTCGCGCTGCGCATGGAAAACCGCCAGCTTAGAAAGTCAGGGCGTGGCTAATGATGTTCACGATTCTACCTTCGTGGTCCGTTCGCAAGCGCAAAAACGCCCGCATGCTCACGATGCAATAATCTGCGCAGGAGGTGTCCGCCATTACATTGAAAAGGCGTTTTCAATGTAATGGCGGTTTAAGTTGCTTGCCCTCTCGAACATAAGCTCTCCAGATGTGAACGTCTGTCGCTTCGACACATAGTCTCGTCGAGCTTCAATGCGTTTTGTCATTGGAAGCGGGTTGTTGGGAACTCACTCATGACACGACGATGAATACGCGCACACAAAAAAACTGCGAGTTGTTCACTTTCCTGCACAACATGGAGACAGCCAATGACGACGAACAATAAAAGGCCCTCAGGGAATGAGAAAGCTCGGAATACGAGTGTTCTACGTTTCATACTTGCCATACAACGTTGTCAAAGCTACTCGTGCGAGCGCGTAGCTTCATCAATATAGTTTCGATTGCACGAGAACGCGCGCATACGATCTGCGATATCAAACCCCATTACCGTGCCAGCAGCTTTCACAGCGTTGTACGCTAATACGAGGTGTGATTAAAAAGTTCCTGGACTGATCTTGTTGCGTAAAAAGAGATCACGGCACAGGGATGCGCGAGCAGCAGTCAAAGTCAAGGACCTTCCTGCGCCATTATGTCAAAGAGCGTCGCTCTGTGAACATTTGGAACTGCGCTACACGAGTTTGTTTGACCACATGCACGAGCATAATGGCGATCTCTCCATAGACTGCAAACCAAAGCAAGAGCAAACATATATTTATGTCAAACTTGGCAAATCTAAGACAGAGACATCTGAAATGATTTAGAATGCCAGTGTGAAAAAGCAGTGAGCTGTGCGAGGGTTTTCGAATGGCACTCGCGCCTCAAGAATGGCAGAACGTCACTGAAGTCAAGGAGAGGTCGGATAAGGTCGCCCTATTGCTCCTACTCTTCCAGCAATGTTCTGCCGTCCCTGAAGCTCGAGTGCCACTTAAAACACTTCGCAAAATTCACTGATTTTTGACACAAGCCTGCTAAATCATTTCATAGTCTCTGTTTTATATTTGCCGAGTTTGACGCAGAATTGATGTTCGCTCTCGCTCTGGTTTGGCGTCTACGATGAAATTGGCATTCTACCCGTGCACGTGGTCCCAAAAACCTTATGTAGCGCAGCTTCAAATGTTCACAGAGCCGCTCCCTTTGGTATAACGAGACACAAAGGTCCCTTCCTTCGACTGCTGCGCGCGAATCACTGAGTTACGCCCTCTCTTTTGAGGCTACAAAATCAGTCCAGGAACTTTTTGATCGCATTTCGTACATTCCCAACTGGCGCCCCATGCGTGCCAGCACGTGCAGCATGCGCATGAAGGTAGCTTCGGGAGAGTTGCACTTTCACGTGCTCGCTCATACGCACAAGACTATGGCGGCGGTCAAATGCCTTGTTTGCATTCGTCTATAAATCTAAAAAAAAAAAAAAAGAAACGCAATACGGGCAAGCACAATGAGAAAAAAAAACATCGTGTTTAGTGCGTCGCTGGGATCGTTAAAAAATATTATGAGCATAGTTATTTATGATTCGCTCATCGGGCGTTCTTATTAGCTTACGCCGCAATGGGAATAGTTGAGAAACCAGCTACGTCTCTTGAGTTGCCGATGACAATGCGGTTCTGTGGACTGCCTATCTTAGTGACCTTCGGAAAAATGAGTAAAATCGAAAGTTAAATTTGGGGGTCCCACGAAGGTTGTCTGGCATGCCCCAGCGAAGGACCGAGGATTAAAGGGGCCATGAAATTATCTTTCAACTTCTCCCTCCTTGGCTTTAATCCTCAAGTTAAAAGCGAATTAAGAAATCACGTGGTCGGGACACCCTTGGGCATCGATGCAATGACCCCAAGCTTCTACCGTGCTCTTTAAGCGCACTGTAGAACTTGCCATTCGCGACTGATGATGAGTTCCGTCGCGGCACCCATTGGCCACGAACGCGAATTCAAATATTCGTCGACGGCTTGATTTTGGACGACTGCCTACGTCCGAGTGACGCAGTTCTCGTGTCCAATGCGTGAGCTGGGATCGCCTGACGCGCTTTTTGGGTACGGCGGATGTATCGCAGTGAAAAGGAAAGGAGGTACAAAATAGTCCGAGATATTGCCAAATTTTCGTACCGAAAAACTGGCTTTTGACTTTCTACCCTCTTTCGTTTGGCCCACTAGACGAAATGAGATAAGTAAATAAAGTCCCACCCTAAAGTCATTTACCTCTGCCCAAAACTAACTTCATGGCCCCCTTAATTTCGATCACTTTGGGTACCTTTTGACGTCCAAACGAAAGTTCGGTCACGCGGCGCCTTTTCCGCAATGAGCTTCCACCAGATAACGGAAATCTCGGCCACGATTCGAACCCGCCACCTGAGGATCCTGGGCCGGCACTTTGCTTCCAAACCAGCAAGGGGCTTTTTTTTTTTTCTGGAAAATAAATTTACGAATTGTTTTTTCTTAAGAGTGTAGCTATCATTCGCTTGGACCGGCACTTCCCCGCCCTTCTGTACCTTGTCACTTGTATGTGTTTCCTCTGATCCCGGGTTGCCAGAATTGGGTGTGCTACGGAGACTGTCACACCGCGCTTGTAAGAAAACGGTGAAGCTTCTTGAGGGGATAAATACGTTTACGGGCGCAGAAAAAAGAAAGAAAAAAAAAAAAAAGAAAAAGAGAGAACTCGCGTACCGCATCCGAGTTCGTCGCTGCCATTGCCGCAGTCATCGTCGGAGTCGCAGTGCCACCTGGCCGGGATGCAGCTGCAGTTGTCCCCTTCTTCGGCGAAGGCGCTGCACGCGAACTGGCCGGGCCCGCAGTCGCACATGGTCAGTCCTGCAATCCAAGAGGCAGCGGGGAATGAAGCCGCGGTCGCACCGATATATATACGTCATCGTACAAAAGACAGTGGGCAGACAGTGTATGAGGAGTGTGTCTTCCTTGCGTAACACTCCCCCCCCCCCCCCCCCCATGTCACATTAATGAATAAAAATGATTGGCAGCGACCTTTACCTTTAAAGTCCTAGAATGTAGGGAATACATTACGGAAAATCGATGAGAAAATCCATGTGTCGTGTGAAGAGTATTTTGCCGCTAAATGTAGCGGGGAACCTACAACGGTCGTATAGGTCACGTGACGTGAGGTCACGTGACGTCGGATTCCCCCGCTAAATGTAACGGGAAAACTGGATCGGTGATTTGGTCGCAGGACGCGAATTTTTCCCGCTACAAATTTAGCGGGGTAACTGAATTGTTGTAGATGTCACGAGACGTCGATTTTCTGCAAAATTTAGCGTGAAACTGGATTGACGTATAGGTCAATCCACAATATAGGTATAAATTCATGGTTTCGCCCACAAGACGTGAATTTTCCCACTAAATTTAGCGGAGAAACTGGGTTGACGTATAGGTCACGGGCCGTAAATTTCCCCAAGGTTATATGACGCGACGTCAGGTGACGCCACGTGACGCCACTTTTTCCCACTAAATTTAGCGTGAAATGAACGGACGAACAAAATTTTGGAACATGGGTGGGGGGCGGGGGGGGGGGGGGTGGCGTTAAAATGCATTTCATGCTGTAAATATCTACAGACATGTTCAAAGCATGCGTACGTATAAAGCAAGCACGCTTCGAACAGTGCTGGAGGCATGTATGTCTGTCATTATCTCTGCGGAGAATCTCCGTGACTTTTGTATGATGAATGGGCAGTTTGACTGTGGGTTTTGGGCTCAAGGCGTGACATTCCTACTGGCCGAATCTAATTGCTATGACAAACATCTGGGTTGCTTGCCTTAACGCGTAACGAACCATAGTCACGAAATGGGTGGAAACGGCGAAGAGGAGTTTCGGTTGTTCTACCTCTAGCGCGATCTTCCTGCATTCGATGAGGCTTCGGCGTCAAGTGCACGTCGAGCCCACGCTCGCGCAGCCAAAGCACCACGGAAGGCACGAAGCACGTGCCGGAAGCCGGACGTTCGAAGAACCCTCCCTGCCGTTCTCACTCTGGCGGCGACCAGATAGCTAGGAACAATAATTGATAGGTGCGTTATAATCGGAAAAGAAAAGCTACATGAACAGATTGGGTTTTACAGGGCAGGGTTATACGAGAGAAGTTTCACGTATACGCTCGCCCGAAATACAGGTTACGTGGTTAAAGTCTAAATGCAATTTTTTTTTAGTTGCAGGTTCCTGAAACGGGAATTAATGCGCAGGGTGTAAAAAGCGTTTCAAAATTTCAGAAAAAAAATGTTGAAAACGGAGGACATGTGAGGCATCTTGCGCGTACTCAGAAACAGAGCTCGAAGCGCGTACAGTTGCGAATCAATAAAGTGAGAAAAAAAGAAAAACCGAAATAGAAACTTGCAAGCATAATAAAAAAAAAAGATATTTCCCCGAATAAACATTAAAAAAAACGGATGGAAAATATCAGACGTAAATCCAAACCCCAAACGCAAACCCCACCAAGCAAAAAAAAAAAAAAAAAGAAAAAAAGAGCATTCATTTTGAGATTTTTTTTTTGCATTTTTTTCTTTGATTTTATGTTTTCTTAAAGTGTCATCGGTTGTTCGGATTATTCCTCTTTTTTTTTTGCATAACAATTTTTGTTTTGCGATTTCTCCTTCCAATCTTGTGAAATTCGTGCGATAAGCCGAGACCGCCTCCCTCGCCGACTCTAGCGGCAGCGCGGATGCCTCGTCACGAACACGCGCGAAGACAAGCGAATGCCAGCTCAGGATGCATGAACGGATGGATGAATTGTAACGGCTGTACCATTTATGACGGGCGATAGCTTTCGTCAGCTAGCCCAGAAACCAAAAGGATTATTCCTCCCCTAGCCCTTCCAAGCCAGTTTCCTGCCGCTCTGCTTTTTCATAATGCCCGTGTCCCACTAGAGCGACATACAGAAACAAAAGACAACGACAAGCCTCAAACCAGAGTCTTTCGCGATTGGAGTGGCTTTGTAGAACAAAGGAGGATATGCTCAAACACGAGCATCATGCACGCGAGGGTTGCTTTGGCAGGCTTGCAATCGCTCGCGCTTACTTCACGAGCAGCGAACGACTAAACGCCTGACAAAGCTATACCATCGCGAGCATGCTGCATGGGTTTGAGGCTTGTCGCTGTCTTTTTGTCCCTGTCTGTCGCTCTAGTGGGACACGGGCATAATTATCACCAGGTGGTGTGGAATATCGCCAGGATAACCTTTGGGGAATCGGGTAAAACAAAAATGAGAAACATCACCCTTTGCCTTCTATCTGCACCAAGGGAGGCGCCACCTTTCCTCTGGTAATATCTAGTCGGCGCTAGCCCAACATCGGGCCCACTGGGAAACAGAAGGGGGATCGGTGGCCGAAAGGACGAGCGCACACCAGCTCGGAGCACATGGAGCGAAAGCTCGCTTTGCAGAACCCAGGGATCGTGGGTTCAATCCCGACTCCTGCCCGTTTCGATCTGGATCAGCATCGTACCGGCGTGCGTTCGTGTATCACTACTGCGCGGTGCACGTTAAAGGCCCCAGGCTAGCGGTTATACTGCACAGGCTAAATTTCTCACCTCGCCCGTTGAGGCCGACTAAGTTCTAGGTTGTATCAATATACACACATCGCAATTTTTTTAAATCCTTTTTACAAAGGGGGGGGGGGGGGGGGGAAGGAAGCAGAGTTGAGACTTTTGGGCCAGAAAAACGCGGGATATAATCCAAAAATTTCTCTGTCCCGCCTTTCCACAGCTGTGCTAGTAAGTTTTACTCCATTCAATTTTCCATGGGTAATTTTCGCCAATCTTCTAACCTGCTTCTTGTGACTGTAGTCCCTTTCTCCTCCATTTTTGCATCGCCACTAGCAAAACTCAGCGCTCCCGCCAGGTCAGTTACCCCTTCAAAGAAAGGAGGGAGAGTGGGAGGAAGAGAGGGAGGAAGGGGGGCAGAGTTGCCCCCCTTCCTCCCTCCCTTCCTCCCACTGGCTTCAAATCCAAATGTTTTAGCGTCTCACTCTCACTGTGGCACACGGTACGCTATGTGTCTATCTCTTGAAATTTATACATATACATCTTTCTCCTTAACAGTCCCGTTCTTGCCTCAAACAGCAAACAACTTCCACATGAATTATCATACACCTTTTCCTTTCTTAAGTCCTGTTTTTCTGACCTATTTTTGTGACAGGCCAAGAGCTACCGCAACATTTTTTACAAGCAGCCACGCACCCCCGTTCTTCTCTCTCTCTCTTTCACAGCACCCTCCGTTTTCAATTCTTCCGCTTCATTTCCCGTCACGGCGTACCCACATATCGATATTTACACTATCGCAGAAGGGACTCTTCCGTGGGCTTAAAGCAAACAGGAAAATGAAATAAACGTCTATAAAACAACGAACCGATTGATAAAAAATTTAGAAAACCAAAAGAAAAATACGAAAAGCAGAAAAGCAATGATTGAACGCGTCTCTTGATATCTAAGTAAGAGGACGAGGTTTCATTTTTTTTTTCGATCGTACAGCGATCAAGTGTCGCGCAAGACAAATCTCGCGCCGACCTCAATGCGTCAAAAAAGATGGATGGATGGATAAATGCGATTCTGCCTTTCTAATTGGATGGCGGCTCGCGCCACCTTGCCAGTGTTACGAATCCCTCTGACGTTACACCGCTTCGGTTGCGCTATTGTCGGTACTGCGCATGCGTAGACGGTTCCTCTCACTCCAGTCTGGTTTCTGCGGACGCGCATCGCTTGCTTGTAAACTGTGTGTACATGTACCAATCGTTGGGAAAGGTAGTAAAAAAAAATATTTATATTTTTTTCTCGCGTATGTTACACTAGTAACTGACACGATGGGAACGGCAGGGAGAGGTTTTCGTTGTCTCGCCTCCAGCGCGAGCTTCCCACCTTCAAAATAACGCTTTGGTGCCTGGTGAGCCTCGATTGTGGGGTAACCCGTGATTGCCGATTTCATTTCGATTACAGGCCTAAGCCTTTTTCTTACTTATTTTTTTATTTTATTTATTTGTTACCTACATTTCTCCCTGGGGCATTATTGTAGGGGGGTAACTTACATGTTAACACAACAAATACACAAATGGAGATGAAACAAATATCAGTGCATGGTGACATGTGCTACAAGTAATACAATGCACAATCACACACACACACACACAAAAAACATTTGAACACAACATACACCTGTCTACTGTAAGCTGCTAACATCAGCACAATGCAAAACAATACATTAGTCATGGATTATTCTCGTGTAAGTAACGACTTAAAAGTCAATCAAATGTTTCATCCGAGGCCGAAACCACAGCTTCGGGGAGCCTATTCCACTGATTTATTGTTCGTGGGAAAAATGACGATTGAAAAACAGATGTGCGGCATGATAGTTCCCGTATTTTCTTCTAGTGGTCTAATCTCTGGGAAGTAAAAGTAGGTAATTTTAGGTAGATGTTCTTACCAATGTCGGTACGTTCACGAACTACTTTATTCAGAAAAAAGTACCTTGATAACCTCCAACGAAGTTCGAGCGAGTCCTATGACAATGATTTTTTGAATGCCGTGACACTGGTATGAAAATGATAAGAGTTAGTAACAAAACGGACGGAGCGATTTTGGATGGCCTCAAGTTTATTAATTAAGGTTTTAGTGTCGGAATCCCATACTACAGCCGCACATTCTAAGAGCGAACGTACGTTAGAAATGTATAGTGTTTCTTTAACGTTACGAGGTGCGTGTTTATTTATTTATTTATTTTATTTATGCGATACCCACAGCGCCAAATCAGGCATTACAGTGGGGGGGATATACATACAAAAAACAACGTACAATGTCAGTCAGACCTCTGCTCCACGGCAGAT